ATACTAATTTGGACAGAGGGACATAAAGGACAGTTTTTGCTCCTCACCCTCCTAGGTCGACTAGTTCCAGGGGACTATGAACATCTCCCAAAATTGTAATTGTGGTGGGTCACCTGTCCTCTTGATCAAGGAGGCCAAGGAGACCCCACCAGATGGACTTGAACCAGTGTCCAGTCTACAAAGAGGAGGGTTAACTCAGAGGAAACATTTCCTCTATGCTTCCAAGTGAAGCCAGCCATGGTCGAGCAGGATCTTATCTCTATATAGGCAGAACTGGCAAAAGAATGGAGCCACGGGCTCCTCCCAAGCCCATGTGACACCTGAGGAACAGATCCTCAAATGACCTTAAGCGTAAAAATAAATTGGTTTATCTGGGCCAATTGTAGGGTCTTAAACACCCAAAAGGGAAATGTGACCCCATCCAAGAAAACTAATACAGATCATATAAAGAAGTCTGAAGAACTGGAGATTTACAAGATGGAGATTTCCAAAGGACTCCAATCTGTTTAAAAGAATAAACCTAAAGAAGTTCAGTGAAGTGCCGTGGAAAACCAACTAAATGATAAAAGTAAAGTAATTAGAAAACCAACAAAGAAATTAAAATAAATGTTTTTAAGAAGAAGCATTTCATTTCAGCTTTAACATACTCAATAACAGTTTCCAGAGCAAAGATACATCTCTTTCAAAAGTGGCTATAAATTTTTTAGGTTCACAGTTGAAGTAATACAGTTATACAATATTGAATTCAGTATAAGCCCTGTAATATTTTACTTATTATTTTTATTTTTAGATAGGCTGACTAGATTCACCAGATGGACAAGTAGTGGGGAACAGCTGGGGGTGCCAACAACACAGCGGACAGTAGCAGGGACAACAGAGTATAAGAAGGGCTCTAGTGGGAGGAGGGAGGCTATGAGAGGGTGCCATCTGGGAAGTGGGTGTATAGTTGAATAAGATGGTTTGGGATGTTCTGTGTGATATACACACACAGAAAAAAAATTAACAAATTAAAAAAATGTATTATATTTGAGAAGGAAGCATAAAAATTTACATCATGTTAATTAGTAGAGGTGATAAACATTACCATTGAAATCTACCCGATGACTTTATAGACATACACAGGCGCCAAGGATACAAGCGCAACTGATAGTAATAATCAGATACATACAGATGAGAGACACATGCGCCAACATCTCAGCGTTGGTAACAAAAACAATGAGTCTTTCTGTAAGAAACAGTTTGTTTTAAAATGAAATGGAGATCTTTTTTAAAGGTTAAAAACTCATTCAAGCCGTGGTGGCGCACACCTTTAATCCCAGCACTTGGGAGGCAAAGGCAGGTGGATCTTTGTGAGTTTGAGACCAGCCTGGTCTACATAGTGAGTTCCAGGACAGCTGGGGCTACAGAGAGACCCTGCCTCAAAAAGACCGAA